CCTTCTAGTTGCTGTATGTGGGACGCGGCCTCAGCATGGCTGGAGGAGTGGTGCCTCAGTGCGCACCCGGGATCCGAACCCGGGCCGCCGGCAGCGGAGCGCACGCACTTAACCGCTAAGCCACGGGGCCGGCCCTTATTAGAACTTTTGAAACAATGCTAAATAATAATGGAGGTAGCTGATTTTAATTGGAATTATTTTAGTGGTTCACAATTAGGGATAATGTTCTTGGTTTTGAGTTAATGTCTTGATTCTAATACATTTTATTTTACTGAGGATTTTTATCAGGAATGATTGTTGAATTTTTTCAAATGCATTTTCAACATTTATTGATTTGTTTTTATTTTGTTTGTATAATAGACTATGTTGATAAAATTCCTGATTATGTTGATATATAGATTATGTTGATAAAATACCTTGCTTTCCTGAAATAAGAATTTCTTAGTCACAGCATGTTAATCTTTTGATATATTGCTGAATACCATTAGTTAATACTTTACTAAGGATTTATATATAGTAGGAGAAGTCAAATTGGACAAAAATGAATAAGGAGATAAATGAAATTAAAAATGAATGAGGACATAAAGAAATTTTATGTTTAAAAATTTAAAATACAATCTATAAACCATACTGTGCATATATAGAAAGAATCTTACAACCCTCAAACATAAAATACATTTTCACAAATATAACCTTTGAACATTTATAAACATTAATTGTGTACCTGGCTACAAATTCCAAAAAAAGTCAATATTTTACAAGCTACATTTTTACTTCATAAGCTAACGAAATTAAAATGAATAATTAAGTATGATAAAAAACGTACCTATTTGGAAAATAAGAAGCACACTCCCAGACAACCTTTGAATCAATTTTTAAATCAAAATTATAAACTTTCAAGGAGTGATGTCAGCATGATGGTGGAGTGAGTTGTTCTCCTTGTCTCTTCCCTCTAAGTTACAACCTCACAGACATCCATTGACCAATGGAGGATTCTCTACACAGCACAATAGGATGCCTGAGAGATCAATGCAGCTATACACCTGAAAGTGGGTGGATTAGACCCCTGAGAGGCAGTGGAACTAGGGGAGTGGCCCCCTTCCCCTCCCTGAAGTCAGCAATCTAGGACACGGATTCTCACGCAGCAAGCAGTGCAACTGTGAGTGGAGGTGAGGGCAGCCTGGCCCACATGTGAACATCTGCGGAGTGGCAGTGGCCCAGCCCATGCAAGCATGCCCCACCTGTGCAAATGCACCCGTGGAGCAGCCTGACCAGCACAACTATGAGCAGATGGGGTGGGAACAGAAAAACAGTCCTTGCCTCCTACTAGCAGTGGCAGGTGGAAGCTGTGATCAGAAGCATCAGTAACCACAGCAACAGAATCAGTGACCCAGCCCTCAGTGGCGGCAACCCTGACACCAGCTCCACCAGCAGTGGGGCTGCATACAAGTCCCCAGGTCCCTGGACCCCCACCAGTGACAGTGACACACGTGAACCCAGCACCCCTTGCAGTGGTGCAACCAGCACCCCAAGACAACCTGGGAACAGCAGTGCATGTGGTGCATGGGACAGTGACATCTGAGCCCACAGAGAACCAGTGGAGGAATATGAGACCCAGGTGACTAGAACCAAAGCCACCAAAGCCGTACCCAAATAAGAAAAGGTGATTACTACCAAAAATATGCCAGCAGAGGATCAATTCATAAAACACCATGAAGAACTACAGTAACACAGCAGAACAGAAGGAAAATGACGACTCTCCAGAAGTCACAGAAAATTACAATCTAATTGAAAGAGAATTCAAAATAGCCATCATAAAGAAACTCAATGAGTTACAAGAAAACTCAGAAAGACAGATCAATGAGCTCAGTAATAAAATTAATGAACAGAAGGAATACTTCACCAAAGAGATTGAAACTCTAAAAAAAAAACCAGACAGAAATTCTGGATGTGAAGAACACAATTAATGAGACCAAAAAATAATGTAGAAAGCATAAAAAATAGAGTAGACCTTATGGAGGAGAAAATTAGTGAGCTCGAAGATAGAAACCTAGAAATGCTTCAGGTGGAGGAGAAGAGAGAGCTAAGATTAAAAAAAAATGAAGAATTTCTTCAATAAATATCCGAGTCAGTTATGAAAAGTAACATAAGGATTATAGGTACCCCAGAGGGAGAGAGGAGAGAGAATAGAGCAGAGAGCTTATTCAAAGTAATAATAGCTGAGAACTTCCCAAACCTGAGGAAGGAACTGGACATACAAGTACATGAAGCCAATAGAACTCCTGATTACATCAATGCAAAAAGGCACTTCTCCAAGGCATATAATGTTAAAACTGTCAAAAATCAATGACAAAGAAAAAATATTAAGGGGAGCAAGAGAGAAGAAAATAACCTACAAAGGAATCTCCATCAGGCTTTCAGCTGATTTCTCAGCAGAAACCTTACAGGCTAGGAAAGAGTGGAATGACATATTCAAAATACTGAAAGAGAAAGACTATCAGCCAAGAATACTCTAGCTAGTGAAATTATCCTTCAGATATGTTGGAGAAATAAAAGCTTTCTCAGACAAACAAAAGCTGAGGGAATTCATCACCACTAGACCTGCTCTACAAGAAATGATGAAGGAAGCGCTCCTACCTGAAACAAAAAGACAAGGGTTTACAAAGCTTTGAGCAAGGATATAAATAGACATAAAAAATCAGAAAATTGCAGCTCTATATCAGAAAAAGTTAGCAAATACTTAACTGTAACATAAAAAATAAAGAGAAAGAAAGCATCAAAAATAACTATAAACACTTCAATTTGGTCACAAACTCACAACATACAAAAGAATAATTTGTGACAACAAAAACATAGATGAGGAAGAGGAAAGGGATGGAACCTGCATAAGCTGATGGAGATAAGAGGCTATCAGAAAATGGACTATCTCATCTATGAGATCTTTTATACAAACCTCATGGTAACCACAAAATAAAAAATCAGAGCAGAGTCATGAATCATAGATAAAGAGAAAATATCACAGAAAACCACCAAACTGAAATGGCAGTCAGAAATACAAGAGAAAAGAAAGAAAGGAAATATAGAACAACTGGAAAACAAAAGATAAAATGGCAGTATTAAGCCCTCATATATCAATAATCACTCTAAATGTAAATGGATTGAATTCACCAATCAAAAGACACAGAATGGTTGGATGGATTAAAAACAAGACTCAACAATATGCTGTCTCCAGGAAACACATCTCAGCTCTAAAGACAAATATAGGCTCAGAGTGAAGGGATGGAAGAGAATACTCTAAGCAAATGGCAAGCAAAAGAAAGTGAGTGTAGCCATACTTATATCAGAAAAGCAGACTTCAAGATAAAAAAGATAATAAGAGACAAAGATGGGCATTATATAATGATAAAAGGGATATTTCACTAAGAAGACAAAACACTTATTAATATATATGCACCTAACATGGGAACACCAAAGTATATAAAGCAACTATTAATAGACCTAAAGGGAGAAATTGATGGCAACACAATAACAATAGGGGACCTTAACACTCCACTTACATCATTGGGTATATCATCCAGACAGAAAATCAACAAGGAAACAGTGGCCTTAAATGAAATACTAGACAGATGGACTTAACATATATACATAGAACATTCCAAAAACAGCAGAACACACATTCTTCTCAAGTGCACATGGAACATTCTGAAAGATAGACCATATGCTGGGAAACAAAGCAAGCCTCAATAAATTTAAGAAGATTGAAATCATGTCAAGCATCTTTTCTGACTACAAAGCTATGAAACTAGAAATCAACCACAAGAAAAAAGCTGGGAAAGTCACAGACATGTGAAGACTAAACAACAAGCTACTGAACAACTACTGGATCAATGAAGAAATCAAAAAATACCTAGAGACAAATGAAAATGAAATCACCACATACCAAAACTTATTGGATGCAGCAAAAGTGGTCCTAAAAGGGAAATTTATAGCAATACAGGCCTACCTCAACAAACAAGAAAAATCTCAAATAAACAAGCTTACCCTATACCTAAAAGAACTAGAAAAAGAAGAACAAAGGCCAAAGTCAGTAGAAGGAAGGAAATAATAAAAATCAGAGTAGAAATAAATGAAATAGAGACTAGAAAAACAATAGAAAGGATCAATGAAACTAAGAGCTGGTTCTTTGAGAAGATAAACAAAATTGACAAACCCTTAGCCAGACTCACTAAGAAAAAAAGAGAGAAGACTCAAATGAACAAACTCAGAAATTAAAGAGGAGAAATTACAGCAAACACCACTTAAATACAAAGGATTATAAGAGAATACTATGAAAAGCTATATGCCAACAAACTGGATAACCTAGAATAAATGGATAAATTCTTAGAATCATGCAACCTCCCAAAACTGAATCAAAGATAAATAGAGAATCTGAATAGACCAATCACAAGCAAAGAGATTGAAATAGTAATCAAAAAAATCCCAAAAATCAAAAGTCCAGGACCAGATGGCTTCCCGAGCTCATTCTAAGAAACATTCAAAGAAGACTTAATACCCATCCTTCTCAAAATCTTCCAAAAATTTGAAGAGGAGGGGAAGATTGTTGACTCATTCTATAAGGCCAACATTACCCTGATACCAAAACCAGCTAAGGGCAACACAAAAAAAGAAAATTACAGGCCAATATCGCTAATGAACATATATGCAAAAATCCTCAACAAAATATTAGCAAATCAAATACAACAATACATTAAAAGGATCATACACCATGATCAAGTGGGATTTATGCCAGGGATGCAGAGATGGTTCAACATCTGCAAATCAATCAATGTGATACACCACATTAACAAAATGAAGAATTAAAAATCACATGATCATCTCAATAGATGCAGAGAAACCATTTGACAAGATTCAACATCCATTTATGATAAAAACTGTCAATAAAATGGGTATCGAAGGAAAATACCACAACATAATAAAGGTCATATATGACAAACCCATAGCCAACATCATACTCAACAGAGAAAAACTGAAAGCCATTCCTCTGAGAATAGGAACAAGACAAGGATGCCCACTCTTGCCACTTGTATTCAACATAGTACTGGAAATTTTAGCCAGAGCGATTAGACAATAAAAAGAAATAAAAAGTATCAAAATTGTAAAGGAAGAAGTGAAACTCTCACTATTTGCAAATGACATGATTCTACATATAGAAAACCCTAAAGAATCCACCAAAAAACTACTAGAAATAATCAACAAATACAGTAATAAAAGAGATTTATGCTGCATCATCGCAGCATTATTCACAATAGCCAAGACATGGAAGCAATCCAAGTGTCCATCGACAGATGAATGGGTAAAGAAGATGTGGTATATATATATACAATGGAGTACCACTCAGCCATAAAAGAAGACAAAATTGTGCCATTTGTGACAACACAGATGGACCTTGAGGGTATTAAGCTAAGCAAAATAAATCAGACAGAGAAAGACAAATACCATATGATTTCACTCATATGTGGGAGATAAACACATAGATAGGAGGAGAGATTAGTGGTTACCAGAAGAGGAGGGGGTGGGGGGAGGGCAAAAGGGATAAAGGGGCACATATGTATGGTGATGGATAAAAACTAGACTATTGGTGGTGAACACGATTCAGTCTTTACAGAAACTGAAATACGATAATGTACACCTGAAATTTGCACAGTGTTATAGGCAAATGACCTCAATAAAAAAAATTATAAATTTTCTATAAAGCAAAGGAAAACACTTTACACAAAAAACTCTATGGGACAGAGTGCAAGATGGACTTGGAAAAAGTTTTATGGCTCTATATGCTTTCATTTTAGAAGAGATGAAAAATAAAAAAAATAATATACACCATAAGAAATTAGAAAAAGAGTACAGATCTCCAGGATTTATACTTCGTTTCCTCTTTTTCTTTCCAATTTCCATCTTTTTGTATTTTCGTGCCACGCTTTAAATGTATTTTCCATATGCTCCTCCACATCACTAATTCGGGTCTCAAAAGTGACTAACTTCTCTTTTATTTCAACCACTGAGTAATTTACGGGATAATTTTCTTTATGTCCAGAAAATGTTTCTTTGTGCTGTATTTGAACTTGTTTAAGTTCCCACAAGGAACTCTTGTAATTTCTGTTTATCTTTGCTGCACTTCAGCCACTTCCCTGAGTGGGAATTCCATCCATTCTGACTGGCTTCTCTCTCTGCTTATGGATCCTCCAAGCCATCTTCTGACTCAGAAGAGATAGACGGATTGGACTTGGTGGGTACAAATGAGTTGTCTCCAGACTGCCATTTTTAAAGAATCTTCCACTCTAATTTGACTTAAACTCATATGGTGTTAAGCATTTCTGTTTGTGATAACTGTGGTAAAAGTTACCAGCCAATTTTCACCTATGATGGAGGTCACAAGGTCCAGGACATGTTAAATTAACTATGGATGCTGACAGAGTGAAGATAATGGTACATGCGAAAAGCGGTTGGAAAAGATGGAGGATCAGTGCATGTGAGATAGTGGGTAAAGCGTCATAGAAAATATGGAAATAAAGATGGCAGGCTATGAACAAGAAAAGTAATAAAAGTGACAGACAGAGACAAATAATAGTATGGAGAACATTTAATTCTAGGCTGAAGATGTTTTCTTGATTCTGGAGGCCAAGAAAATTTCTTTAAAGTTTTGGTTAGATATTATGAAATCAATATTTAACATCATTGGTAAGACGACTGGAGTGAAGTGAGACTGAGACCAACACTTCTTAAGAGATGCAGGGGAGGACTCCAAGTTGACTTGAAGGATTAAATCCTGACATCTCACAGATTCTGTTATTTATATCTATTTTTTTTCTGTTGAGAAATATCTATTTAATTTTATTAAGAAAATTTTACAAACCAAGATGGCACAGGGGAGGAGTTGATAGCAAGCCACTGTAACTGTTAATAGTGGTGGCTGGAAGCAGGAGCCAGTGAGTGGGGTGGATCTTCTCTAGTGTGGATAAGGAAAAAAGGCCCTTTTGAAGAGGGGGAAAAAAGAGCCAAAGGGTGGGAATTCAAGAGGAGCCATTACAGGTTCTAGAGATTCAGGAAGACCACTTATTTTCCCAGCCTTAGGCTTGGTGTTCAGCTGATTCTTTGGCTGCCAGCTCCTTCTGTGAGTTCAGAAGATTTTCATGAAAAGAGATGGTCTCTTTTGGAAATAAATGCCCTTTCACACGTTCACTTCACAGAAAAAAGAGACAGGTATCCAGGTCATATGTATCCAAGAATCATCTTACTATTTCTCTTACTCTATATCTTCCTTCATTTGAGAGGAAATATTGATGAGCTCCTAATATACCTATCACAAAGTAGGATGGATTTAAAAGAATTGAACATAAAAATTTTATAATATTTAAATTAAATGATTTGTGAAAACTCCCACAAACCACTATAATAATGCTTGAGTGACTTTATGATATGTAAAATATTATATTTGGTATTTTATTTTAAGTGTGTAATTTTGCAGGCTTGGGTACCAATCTGGACAAATTTATCACTTTTTTTCCTAAAGTGTTTGTGCTTTTTGGCATTAAATCATTTCTATTCTCAGGTCAAAAGATAGTATACATTTCTTTCATACATTTTTACAGTTTTGTTTCACATTTAGATCTTCAGTCCACTTGAAATTTATTTTTGCGTTTTGCATGTAGTATGAAGTAGGGGTTTAATTTCATTTTTCCCCTCTTACCATTTATTGTAAGGTCCATCCCTTTCCCTAGTGATTCAAATATATATCAAGCATATAATACATTCTTCTGTATGCCTGGGTCCACTTTCTGTGCTCTGTATTCTGTTCCATTGACTCATTTTCTATCTCTGTGCCAATACCATGTCATCCAAATTACTATAGCTTTATACTATCTTGGCACTTGGTAGGATAAGACCCTCATCTTGTTCTTTGTCTTCAAAATTGTCTGTTTCATTATAAACTATTGCCATATCTTCTACTTTTTTTCCCTAAACATTAAAGGACAATTGTTCTATCATTATTGAAGCAGGCTGACATAATTTGTTTGAAACCATCACTCATCACCTCTTTTAACCTCTTTAAGATTCCTTATCTGTAAATGCAAAAAATAAGAGTACCATCCTGATTCGATGGATGCTAATGCATTGAAAGTTTCTCAATCTTTTGAAACCTCAGTTCCTTCATTTGTAATAATACATTATTTATTAAGATTAAATGAGCTAATATATCAGTGTAATGCAGTCCTAGCACATAAATAAATGTCACTTCTTTTTTTTTAAGTCATAAACCCAGGCCTGGGGGTGGGAATACTAAAGGCACATGCAGAGGTTGTGTGTAGGTAACATAATGTGGCAAACAGCATGGATGAAGAAAAGTGGAAAGAGATAACATTGGAAAGGAAGACGGGGTCAGATAACAAAAGATGCCCAAAGCTAGCGAATTTAGGGAAAAGAACAAACTTGTAGTAAACATTTGGCATTTGCTCAGGGCTTTACATACACTATTTATTTACTTCTCTTATCACCCTGGTGAGGTAATGATGATTATATCCATTTTACACATGACATCATGCAAATTTCTCAAGTCATTTAGATAATAAGTGTCCAAACCAGGGTGTGGGCCTGGATCTGATTCTAAAACCATTGTCCTTCTCTCTATAGAAGGCTGAGAATTTGGAAGAGGGGGAATGCGTTCCGGCGCACATGCGTCTTTTTGCACCTCGGATCGCTTGGCACTGGACTAACATCATATCTCCTACTCAGTAAATGCCTTTTCATTGATTAAGCTTTTTATTTCAAGATTCCTTTTGAACTGGACTTTGTTTAAAGTGTCTTTAAAACTTTTCTTCTAAAATGCTAGCCTACAGTTGATTATTCAAAAAAAGAAAACTATTAGACTAAGTTATACTAAATACTAAAATATTACTAAATATTGGCAGTACTAAAATCTAGAAGTATTCATCTCATGGAGTGCGAATCATGAGAAAATGAATACTCGTGTAGAATATAAATATTAATTGAAATATTGTTAAAATATCAATATAGAAATATCTTTATATCTTTAATAGATCCTTAGAGTATTTAGGGCATTTTTTAGTTCAGATGTTCCAATACTTACTATCTGAATTAAAGAATAATAGCTCTTTATGGGGAAATACTTCCTTGGTTTGTAACTCCTTTTGATGCATGTGGATTTGGAGAAATTTTGACCACAAGAAAAGAAAAACAAAACAAGTTGTTGTGACTAATGTTATATTCCTATTATCACAGACTAAAGCAAGCCAAATCTCACTGAGCTAATTTTGGTTTTAAATAATAAACCTTGCATGAAGCCCCCACAGTTAATTGTAGATAATTGAAACTAAACCAAAAACAAAAACAAAAACCCAACACCTAAAGTAAAGTAAATTAAAACATGAATGCTAATAAAAGCACTTGAGCTTTCAAAGACTTGTTTAGTATTTTACACACTTTTATTGAGTCACTTTCTTGTATAGAATATTAGTAATGTTCAAACTTAATGATTTTTATAGAGGCTGAAAAAAAACCAGCTTCAAAAGAGACTGAGGAAGGCTATAGGGATGAGGAGGCTGGGTGAGAGCTGCATTTCGCTTTATTTTAAAGAATAGTATTGTTAAAGAAAAATAATCAAGACAAGAGGTCAAAAGTTGGGCTCTGAGCAGGGAAGTTCTGCCAAGCGGAGAGCCTGATGCAGCCCAGTCAGAGTCTGGGCCCTGGCAGGAGGTAAAGTAGGGGAAGTCATGGGCAGGCCTTTCACAGCCAAAGACCACCCTTTCTCTCCCCTGTTAGGAAACAAGGCCCGTGAGCGCTGCTGATTGGCTGGAGCCACCTGGGCTCACCGCTTGGACAGCCCGGAGCTGACTGGTGGTGGTCGACTGCGCAACGGGGGGGATATGTCTCGGGATTAAGGATTCCAGCTGCCTCTGCCAAGTATGTGAGCGAGCCATGTCAGGATAATGGTGCCCAGTCTGGCCTGCCTGCTGTCAGCAGGCTAGGTATTGGAGATTTGTCATTATCTTAGTGTCCCATTGTAGGCTCCTTCTTTGTGAGGGAACAATGAACTTTGGATAGTTTCCAAATTTCAGTTTGTATCTGAGTGCCACATATTCTCCTGCCTTCGTTTTTTTTTTTAAATCGGGTAAATGATATCTTCATGCGTGACTATAAAAATCAATTGTTTCTCATATCTGGGGAATTCTCAAGCATTTTCACCTTCCTCGGGCCACTTCAGCCCAGCTTCTGCACCCCCGGCACCCCCTTCCCCATCCCCACCCCCATTCTGGGTCTATTTTATTGAGGCTACCCTAGTTAACACTCCACCTTTCTATGTCAACATTTCTTGTATCTTCTTTTTTTTTCGAACTCAAAATCTCCCATAATCTTTTCTCCTCTTTGTTCATTCAACCAAAAAATGTTTACTCTGAGGGTCAACAGCCAAGGACTAGATGTGTATAGTGGAGAACAAACTTGTTTCCTACTTTCACTGAGGTTATGGGCTAATGGATGACACACAGCAAACAGGTAAACAAAGAGACGAATTTATAATTACGAATTGTGATAACTGCTATGAAGGGAAAGAACTGGGGGCTAGGAGTAGGGTAACCCTATAATTAATCCTGTAAACTAGGGCAATCTTGAGAGTGAAAAAGGTGTTATTAATTATTATGTCAGAACAACAGGTGAAAACCAGGACTGTGCCAGGCAAGTTGGGCCCTAGTGTCACCTTTCAGGGAATCTGGCTTTCATTTGACTATACAGGGAAGAGGTAAGATGAAACCCAAAGGATCAGGAGGATCCAGCCATGCAAACATCCTAGGGAAGGACAATCTGAGTAGAAACAGAGAATCTGATGCAAGAAAGTTGTGTGTATTTGAGGAACCGAAAGAGAGTTTGGAGCAAAGTGATTGAGGCACAAAGTGGGACAAGGTGAGGCAGGAGCCAGATCATTTAGGGCCCAGCAGGTCAGATTATGATATTAGATATTTTTTTTCTAAATGCAGTATGCAGCCAGTGAAATATTTTATTAAGCAGAGGAGGAGATAAAATCTAGTTTCTGTTTGTTGAAAGATCATTCTGCTCATTGATATAGGATGACGTTCACAATTCATTAAATGAGAAAAATCAGACTGCAAAAATTGACTGCACAATATGATCACATTTATGTGTTTGCTTGTGTATATGTTAATATATACATAGCAAACATATAGCAAATGGCCTGGGCAGATATATAGGAAAAGGAGATTATGTGTGCTTTAAAAATTTTTTCCTTACTGTTTTTTCTAAATTTTGTTCATGGAGTACGGATATATTTGGGATCATAATTCTAAACTAGACCAAAACAAAACCAAGAAGGTTACTCTGATTGCCTTGTGGAAAAAAGACTAGAGGGAAGTTCTGGATCTCATCTTCTCACAGATTCTCTGGGATGTTGCCCATCAATTATCCCTCCTCTGGACTACAGCTGAAATTTCTCTCTTTCATCAGGCATTTTTTTTTTTGCCACTGCACATGACTAGATTTTTCCTATCCTAAAAGAATCCCTCCATCTATTTTACTTTCTCTCTTTTATTTCTCCCTACCTGATATCTAGAAAAAGAGAAGTCTATACTCATTGGGTTCGCTTTCCTCCTGTTAATTCCTTTGCAATAAAGCTTCATTCTCCTCTTTTCTCCAAGGTCACCAGTGACCTGCTTGTTGCCAAATTTGATCGCTATTTTTTGGTTCTGTCTTGCTGGAGTATCTGACATCATTTAACATCATCTTTTTAAAAAAAATTATGGAGAATTTCCAACATGTACAAATGTAGACGGAATAAATGATATGGAGGTTAGAAGAAGATGATCTGCCATACACCTAACTGGTATCCAGAAAGAAAATAGAGAAAATTATTAAGAGAAAATATGCAAAGAAATTCACCTAATTTTCAAAAATTGATGAAAGACATGAATCCACAAATTCAATAAATATAAAATAACATATTCATCTAGACATAGTTTAGAAAACTGAACAATATCTGAGATGAAGATCTTAAAAGATATGAAAGACAAATGACCTACCTTGACTCTATAAAACAATGATTTTAGGATTTAATTTGTGGAGTTAAAGAAAAAACAAGAAAGATAAAATACTAAAGAAAATAAATCATGAAAACCAGGGGGAGTGCTTAAGTTTAAACATACTAAACTCCTTGTATTATTTGGGAGAAACGAAAAGTTATTTACTACATTTAGATTGTACTAAGTATGTGTATTAAAATTTGCGTGGGTAGGGCTGGCCCCATGGCTTAGCGGTTAAGTG